GGCAGGGGGGTGGGGGAACCAATGCTTCTGTGACCTTCCCAACTCAGAGGCATGGATTAGCATTCCGGAAATCTACTGGTGGGCTATTGGGGTCACCATCAGGCCTAGGTAGAAGCTGGGCTGCATCTGACCATGCAGGCCTAGCCAGGCCTCAGCCAACCCCATGGGTGCTCTGAGTTCTGATAAGGGCCTTTCTGTCCCCATGTCATTGTTAACTGGGGCATGGCTGGAACAAGGGTGCTCAAGAGGGCCAGGAGCACAGGGCTGGGGGTCCCATCAGCTGGAGGCTGGGGGCTCAGTCCTGCAGGGATATAGGAGGTGCTGGCCAGCAGCCAATAACCAGAGTCTAGGTTGACACTTCAAGGGACATTCTTAGAGCCCTAGCCTGGGAGCCTGGGGAGCAAGTGCAGCCCAGTGGGTGCCTGGTGGCAGGACAGAGCAGCCCAGCATCCTGCACCCACCCCTTCTTCTCCACATGCCACCCTCCCGCATCTGCTACTCACTGCCACTGGTGCCTGTGTGGGTGATGGCTACTGTGCACCTCTTCCCGGCAGGCGCTGTTGGCTCCATCCAAGGGTACAGCAGCAGATACAGCCCAATTGGGAAGCCCAAAGCACTGGGCATCTGAGAGGACATTGTAGTGACAATTGTAATGGTGGTAACGACAGGGTAGGGGCAACTAGGGCAAGAAGGGAGGCACTCGTCATTCCCCAGAAAGACATGGGAGTACTGAGGTGACAGGAGTAGAACTGAGGGTAAGGACAGTGGGGACCAGGAGGAGCATGCAGAAGGCTGACAAGGTCAAGAGTGCAGCGGGGGTCAGGGATGCAGGCGCTCCTTGGGCTGGCCTAAGTCTCCTGCCAGGGACCTCATGGGGAACTTGCACCTCTGTTTCCCTTCTCTTGGCCACAGTCCCAGAATCCTGCCTCTTGGCTGGGCTTCCTGCAGGCCACCACATCCTGTTCCAAGGCCCCCTCCTGCCTCACACCTCATGTCTTGGCAAGCTTCGCTCAAGCCCCCTCCTCCAGGAAAAGCAGGCCCCGGAAGAAGTGTCTAGCCACACAGGGACCGTCTGGGAGATGCTGGGCTGTCTGGCTCTCAGGCAGGCGCTGGCCTCTGCTGGGCCAAAGATTGCTCCAGGCTGGAGTCAGGGCTCAGGACAGGGCCCAGGCCCTCCCTGCCCCCATCCGAGCCTCACTGCCCAACAGGCAGCAGGCAGAGCTGGGCTCCCCCAAGGGAAGAGCATAGGGCCCCCAAGTGCCTCATGGCCTCCCTCTGGCTCCTCTGCTTTGAAGGCACCACCTTCCTGCCTCTGGCCCCACCCAGACCGTGGCTCGCTAAAGATAGCCAGGCCCGCAGGCCGGGTCTCCTCAGGCCCTGAAATTACAGCCCTGGTGGCCCAGAGGGGAGAGATGCTGTGTGATTATGTTCTCAAGCGAAGGTCAAAAAAAGCTCCTGGCATACAGAGTGCCAGCTTTCACCAGCCACGCCTCGGTCATCCAGCACCAGGAAGCTTCCAGATAGCAGAGGCTCAGCTGTCTTCTGGGTATGTCCGTAACTGCCCTGGCCCTGCACGCAGATGCTCCTGGAGCATCACTTTCACAGCCGCCGCTCAAGGTCATCACTCAAAAGACCCTCCCCTGCCCGTGCCCAGCCCTGAGCATGCCGGCATTGGGCAAGGACAAAGCCAGCAGGCTAAGAGTGAGGCCACTCTGGGTGGAGTCACTTGCTCAAGAAGTAACCTTGATGTGTGTGTGGCACATCCCTGGCTGGGCATTTGTCCTGGAGGCTGAGACATAAGGCCACTCCCATTAGAGAAACCCCTTGCTCTAGGCTGGAAGCCCTCCATGCCCCAGGCCCCTGCATGCACTCATCATATCTGGTCACCCAGTCACACCTGACCAGGGTGCTGACCAGGGTCACCTTGCTTTTTGAAGCATAGCTCACTGCAGCTCCCCACTCCTGCCTGGCTCTCCCTTCTGTCACTGTGTGCCATCCCTTAGTGCCACCAGGATAGACAGGGAGGGAGAGGAGTAGTGTGTGGAGGCAGAAGGGTTCTAGAAGTAGCCACCCACAGAGAGCAGGGGAGCAGGGCAGAGGGCCCCTGAAGCCCAGGGCTGGATTGTTCTTCTGTATGGGCTGGGGCTCCAGCAGGAGCTATCTCAGCTGCTGCCACCTCTGTAGGGGGCCTTCCATGAGCCCCTGGGAGCCCCTGCACACGGGGCCACCTCCCAGGCTGCTAGGCCCTGCCCTCTGGGTGCCCTGCTTCTCTCCTGAGCCTCCCTCCACTAGTTTGAGGCCAGGGTACAGACAGCTGCAAGCCAGCCGTGGGGGGACAGGCTGCAGCTGATGCTAGGTCCTTCTCCCAGCACGGGCCAAGGGGATGGCAGCTGGCTTAGATTCCCCTGCCTGGGAGAGGGGGCCCTCTGAGACCTGCTGGCCCACCCTGCCTCCCCTTCTCCCAGGACCCCTCCCAGGCTCTCTCCCTCCCTCACACATGCCCTCACCCTGCCTCCTGTCTCAGGACCGCCCCCACCTGCTGCTGCCAGCACCTGCCCATGGAGGGCTAAATGAGGACTGGCTGCTCAGAGCCACTCAGGGCTGCCCTCACCACAAGCTGGAGGGGGTGGGCTCCTTGGGTAGAGAGTCCTTGGCTCCCTCGGGCAGGAGAAGGGCCTCCTGGCTGACAGGCAAGGACCTCCTAGCCCTCTACAGTCCTCTGGGGGAAGTGTCCTAGCTAGGGCTTTGAGGGCCTGTTCAGTGGTGTCCCACAGTCACACACAGGCTGTGCTGGGAGGGGCTGGGCTCTCCCCAGCCCCCCGTGCCCCATCTGCCCTGGTTCCCGGGAGCTAAGACAGCTGTGTGTGTCACCTCCTCCCCAGGAGCCCTGGGGACCTCAGGAAATGCCTGCTCTTCCTTCCTACCTGCCCCCTGTGCCTGCCCTTCTCCTGTGCCCCCCCCCCCCAGGCTGAGAGGCCCAGAAGGGCAGGAGGCTGCCTGTGCCACTAGCCAGCAAGGACAGGCTGTTCCCAGCACTGCTACAGCTGCGGAGAGCTGAGGCCTAGGGAGGGAGAGGGGGAGGCCCAAGAAGTGAGGTGCTGTCTGGTGGGTCTGGGAGCGGCTCCCAAATTAGAGGGCCAGGCTGAGTGACTCAGTGGGCCCTGGGCTGGGTGGGCAGTTACGGCTTATTGCAGACTGCAAACCACAGACACAAGAACCTTCCAGGCACAAGAATTGTATTTACAGAAGTAATGCCCCAGAAGCAGCCCCTGACTATAGCCAAGAGCTCCAAGGTGTCCGTACAGCCCGCAGGAAGGTGCCTGGCTAAGACCTGAGGGTGAGGTCTGTGCTCTCATGGCCGCCACACTCTCTGCACCTTACCTGTGCTCTTCCTTCCAGCGGTGATGTCCCTCTTCCTTACCAGCCTGCTCCAGGTCACCTCCTCCGAGTAGCTTTCCTGAGCCTCTGGCACTGTGTGTGCCCTGGGGGGGCAAGAAACAAGAGCATCACAGCACCCCTCATGCACTCAGCCTAGCCTCGGGAGCACCCACTGCCTTGGGCCTTTCCCCAACCAAGCCCATCCCCACCAGGCTCAGTCAGGGACCCAGGCTGCTCCTCGGGCAGTAGGCATGCCTTACGTGGGTTTTTCCCTTTTCTAAAACGGTTTTGTTGAGATAGACTTCACACTGCAGATAATTTGTCCGTTTAACAAGTACAAGTCAATGGTTTTTTATTTGGTGTAGTCACCCAGACTGCCAGTCAGCCTGCACTGCACAAGCCCCATCTCTACCAGTGTATTCACCCACAAATGGGTTGGCCTCTGGATCCGAATCCAGGGAGACAGCGGGAAGGGGTGGGGGCAGAGATGCAAAAACTTTTGAGTTTTTTCTGTCTATGTGCAGTTTTCTCTTTTGGTCCCCAGTTCTCCTTTTGCAGACCTTAGTGTCACTCCCTACCTTGGTTCCTAACTCTCTCTAAACCCTCACCTTTGTCTCTTGGGAGCTGCTCTTGCCAGGGAAGGAATGGGGCACCACTGGACAGTGAGGACATGTCGAGCTAAGGACATGGGCCCTAGATGCAGGCAGAGCTGGACTCACTGGGGCCCTCAGGAAGCGGCCAGGCCGAGGCTCAGCTGACCCAGTCAGCCCCCATAAATGACTAGCACAGAGCTCAGCCCAGAGGAAATGCCCACCCACAGAGCAGTTATCTCATCCTAGGGGACCTGCACAGATTGAGCAAGAAGGATTACTCCTGGGTTCCTTTTGTCTGAATCAGCTCTCCGGGCCTCGGAGCAGGCAGGCTGGAGAGCCCCCAGAGTCTGTGGAGCTGGGGCCCATCCTGCTACCACGCAGACAAGACTGTTTCCTCTCTTTAAGGGAAGAAAGGTGGGGTGGGAGGGAGGGTGTGCACAATGCCCAGGAGCCTAGATCAAGTCCTTCCAGAAACCCACAACAGCTACCTCTCTGATCCCAGAGAAACCACCTCCTTGCTTAGGCCCTTGTGAGGCAGGTTCCAGGCAGGCTGGGGACAGAATCCCAGGGACCACTCACAGGCCTAGCAATCCAAAGCCACTTCCCCCTCATCTTCCTTCTATTTCTGCCCTGTCTCTTTCCTCTGCCTGGTGGGATGCCAGCAAGCGCCTCAGTGACCCCATCTGGGCAGTGGAAAGTTTGACTCTTGGAGGCTGTGCCTGCCCAGAGACGCCAAGGGTCCTTGTAGGAGTAAGCCTGAGTATGTGTCCGTTTGCTCTGTGCCCCAGGCGGGGGTGGGGACGGGGGGAGGGGGCGCTAGCCCAGCCAGCAGTCTGTAAGAAAATTGCTCCCTTTGAAGCTGCCAGGTCCCCCCCAAGCCTGCTCCCTCCCTCCTGCCACTACCGCCCCGCTCCGCCCCACCAGCCCCCTCCCTCCTTTCCTCTCTCCCTGCCCCCTCCTCCATCCCCTCCCACCGCCACCGCCTGCCTGCCCAGCCTTAGTCTCCCGCCCACCCGCCTCAGACTCCCTCTCTCCACCAACTGCCCAGGAGAGAGCAGCTGCTTTCTGTCTGCCTGAAAACGACGGACAGACTCACAGACAGCCATCATCTCAGCCTGCCAACTAGCCAGCCTGGCCTCTTCCCCTCCCCAGGTAGGGCCCCTCCTGCACTAGCCCCGCACCAGCCCTACCCACAGCGTCCTGACTGTCCCCCCGCCACTGGCCTCAAGCTGCCCCCTCGGCAGCCAGGAGATGACTCCCTCTCCAGCCCCAGGACACCCGTCATTGCCAACCTGTGGCCCTCTGGCTCCTTGTGCTTTCTCCCTGTCCCCCACCCTCCAGGCACCTTTCCCCCAGCCCTTCCTTCCCCTCTCCCCTTTGACCTTGCCCATCCCTGTCCATTTCTTGTCTCTCTGCTTCCCTTCTCGCTGTCCTTCCACTCAGCTGCCACCCCAGAGCATCACTGGGTGGCTGGCATCCCAGTTTTGCCAATAGCCCTGTCCCATCACAGCAAGTCCCAGGTGCATCCTCCATTCCCGCCAACCCGCCAACTCTGCCCAGGCGCCTCCTTACTTTGGGGCTTGGCTCCTGGCCAGGTTGGGGAGCACCTCCGAGTGTGCTGAGCTCAAGGGCAGCCCCTGCTGCCTGGGGCTAGTCTCTGGCATGGGCTGAGGGACTTGGTTTCCCAGGCATGCCACAGGCACCCTGCCCAAATGTTCCTCACTCACCCCAGGCTAATGCCCTGCCTCTACTTCCTCCTGTGAGGAAGGGCTGAGTGGCTGCAGGGCTGAGTGTGGCTGAGTGGGGACTCAGTCTTGTCTGTCCCCAGAACCCCTAGGACTGGGACTCAGAATGGGTGGGGGAGGTGGAGGAGAGAAAATCAGGCAACCATGCCATGTTCCCTGGGGCAGACCTGGCTTAGGGCCCCAGAGGGGCCTGCCAAGAGACCCAGGAGACAGAGCACTGATGGTGACCACTGAGCACCCTGGAAGATTGGGGAATGGGAGCACCCCTCACTGCTCCATGGGCAGGGCTGGCTGCCTGGACGCCTGCTGAGCAGAGCAGGGGACCTGGGGTCCTGCAGGGCAGCTATGGCAGATCTTACTTAGGCTAGGGAGATTGTCCTCCAGCAGTGTTCTCCTGTCTCCTGGCCAGCCAGGCCACTCAGGTCATCCAGGGGCCTCCCACTCCTCTGCCCTTGCCCCTCTCCTGGCCTGCCAGCTCTCTGCCTTGTAGCAGCTAATTGGGATGGAACAAGCTGAGACGTTGGGGGCCTCCCTCAGGGCCACAAAGGTTCCCAGGGACCTGTGTCCAGGGATGCAGGTGAGCATCTCCTATCAATGTGCGGCCGCCTGTGCCAGACACACCCTGAGAGAGCCGAGAGGCAGGCAGGGGCACCATCATGTGGAGCATGCCCATGTATGGCTACTACGGGCCGGGGTAAGTGAGCCTTTGAGGGCAGGCCTGTGTGGGTGGATTGAAAGGAAGGCTCAGGACTGCCTTCAAGCCACCAGGGCTGGGCGGGGGAAGCAAGCTCTGAGCCAGGGAGCAGAAAGGGCTCCTGTCGCAAGCTGGCCAGCTGTGACTGGCAGCCCTGGCCTCCCTGTGCCACCTGCCTACCTCCAAGCCCCAGGGACGCAGGTCGCAGTGGGCATTGCTCCCCCACTGCCTCTGCATAGGTGAGGGGTCTGAGTCTGGGCTCTTTCCCAGCAGTTCTGCACTAGCGCATTTTAGGGGCGCAGAGAGTTGTGGTGCCAGCCCCTGACCATCATGTGGGGCAACATATGAGCATTCACCAACCTACCCCCAGTCCCTCCAGCAGCCTGCTGCTGTTGCAGGATCACCCGTGGGGAAGGGTAGAAGGAAAGGCGATGTCCTCAAGGCAAGGAGTTTCCTTTCTTTACCAACATTCCACAGTCACTCAAACAAGGCCACAGCATGTCCCTTCCGGTGATAGCGTCAAGTCCCCAGAGGAAGGATTTGTAATGAGCCCACACTTAACAGTTTGCACCTGGAGACTTCTGAGCGGGCTTCTGATTCCTTGGCGCCCTGGGGATGGGAACACCCCCAGTCTCCTCTACTTCCCAGGGCCCCCACTGTCCTTCCTCCACCCCTTGGAGACAGCACAGCATGGGCCTGTCCCAAGGCTCACTTGTCCACAGAGGCACAGGATTCCCAGTGCACCCCCCACCCCCGGGCATCATCCCAGCCCTGGGGCCTCCAACGCCCACCTGTGGGGCTCTTTACCTTCCTTGCTTACCCCCGACACCCCTGATTGTCCGAAAGGCCTTCTCATGGCCACTGCGACCCCCTCTGGCTACTCCTCATTGGTTACCCCAGAGCAGGTGAGCTCAGTCCCTGCCCTGAGCTGTCCGCTCCCCCGGCTTCCAGCCTGACAGCTCTGGCAGCCCCACTGGTGGGAAGGGGACACACTAGCCGGGGCCTTGCTCACCCAAGGGGCTGGGGGCTGATGATGGCTCTCCCTGGTACCCTGCATGGGCCGTGGGCTGTGGGCCATGGGGTGTGAGCGGGCAGCGGCTCCCTCCTAAGGCAGGCCGGCATGGGATCCTGCTGGCTCTGTCCCCACCCCGCTGGCCGGGGCCTGGGGCAGTCTAGTATCCCCCTTCTTGTCCTCTTCTGCTCAGACACTGGGCTGGGGGAGAACAGGGGGCCACACCTTGGCTGCCCACACAGCCCTTTCTGCAAATCTTAGTGGGACCTGCGGGCGGGTGGTGGCATGCAGAGGGGAGCTGCGCCTGGGGGTGGGGGTGGCTCAATCCTGCTCCTGGCCTGAGGCCCACTGAGCCTAACGAGATGGCAAGACCCATGGCCAGACCCTTCTCCAGCTTTCCAGAAAGAACCAGCTTTGCAGTGTTCCCTAGGGAAAGCATGGGGCTCACTTGGCCACCTCCTCTGGAGGGTGGGGGTTGTGTATCATGTCCCCTTCACCTTCTGGGCCAGCAGGTCCCTTCCCCCGCCTGGACCCACAGCTAGAGTGACCCTCCCAGGCCTCCTTCATGACCTCTGGGACCCCAGGCTCCTGGAAACCACCCCAGCACTCCCACCGTTTGCCTTCTTCTCCCACCCCTCATTGCTCTGAGTCTGGGCAGCCTGGAGTGGTGCGGCCATGGAGGGAGGCCACCAGCCCCAGCTCTTCCAAATGCTGCAAAACAGCCCCTGCTTCCCACCTGCTCAGCTCCAACCCCCGCCTGCATAACAGGGCCAGCTCTCTGCTCACTGGCAGGCCAGCATCACTGACATTGCCAGGCCCAGTGAAGGTGCCTGCTCCTCCCTGTGGTTTGGGAACCTGGAGGCTCTAGCCAGCCTTCTTGCACAGAGCCCCTCAAGTCCGCTGTATCTTAAACCCACTCTCAACAGAAACATTGGCCTGGGCTGAGCTTCAGGGGCCCAGCCTGGACTCTGTGTGCCCCTTGAACTTGCCCCTGCTTCCCCATGGGTTGCTAGGTATCCCCACCCATTTGGTCTCTGGGGGTCAGAAGGCCAAGGAGAACAGAGCAGGCAGAGGTCTAGATGACCATGGGATTAGGGATTTTGTAAACAGAAGTGAGACTCGAAGGAGGGCAGTCTTGTCTCTGGAGATAGGGGAGGTCTGGGAGGCCAGTGCAACATTTGTCCTCTAGCAGGCTGAGCTCCTGCTTGGCCTGCAGAGAGACACACACCCATGGAAGCATGGTGGCTGGCAGATGAACAGGCAAGATCCCAGCCTAGCCAGAGCACCAGCAGAGGGTGGGGACCGTTGTAGGTGTGGGGCTGCTGGAGACTCAGAGCCTCTCTTCCTGGTGCCTGGCTGTTGTCTTGCCAAGGGCAGGGCCAAGCCCCCTTGCCTTGCCTGGGCTGGGCAAGGGAAGGAGGCAGGCAGGGCCCCAGGCTCTGGAGGCCAGGCTGGGAACGTCTCCTTTGGGGTGTTCAGAGGTGGCAACTCCCCGGCCCAGCCAAGATGATAGCTTTTCCAAGAGACTTCCCTGCAGACAGGCAGAGGCAAGAGGGTCAGGACTGGTCTGGTGGGTGTACTGGGGCTGAGGAGCTTCTGGCTTCATGGGCAGTGGGAGCTATTGATGGTGGCAGCCAGAGAGAAGTGCCATATTTCCAGCCAGGGTGAGGGAGCTGCCAAAGAGTCTTCTCCCATACCCCTGGGGACTGGTTGAGCCCCCTGCACAACCCAGGCAGTGTGAGACATTGCAGCTTCGGGGCTTCCAGCGATGTCTGCAATGGCAGAGGGTGAGTCTAAATGCATGGGCAGCTCTACCACTTCCCCCCTCTGTGGCCTTGGGCAAGAGCTGTGGGCAAAGTCTCTGAACCTCAGTTTACTCCTTCATCAAGTGGTAAAAGTGTGGCTTCCTTCTTACAGTTAATGGGGGTAGGCTGGGGCTAGGTAAAGAAATCACTTGAGTCCCCTGCCCTGCCCCTGGTAGGTGACAGCACCTCCTTCTTCCTCACAGTTTCTAGCACATGGCAAGTAAGAGCCTGGGATTTCTTCAGTGAGGAGAGAGGAGGAGAGAGGGCACGCAGGCCAGGTGTGGAGGGACCAGGAAACCCAGGGCTCCCAGCTGACCAGGGTCATCTGCTGCCCGACTCCTTTCCAGAAGTTTCTTGGCAGGGTGGGGGCGGGGGTGGATGCACCCAGCCACCTCACCACCTCCCTGGTGCCAGCCCTTTGCAGCCTCTGACACCCACATCAGGTCCAGCCTGTCCTCAAAGTGCAGGACCCAGATGTGTGGCTAGGGCCACAGCAGGAAGGAGTTGTCCTGGCTGGCTGTGCTTGGGCAGTGGCTGCCCTTGCACCCTGAACGGCATGCTGGGGCAGTGCCGGGGGCTCAGAGTGAGGCTGGGGTGCAGATGCAGCAGTGCTCAGGGTGCACCCCTCCCCACTCCAGCCCCCAGCCCCTCAGGCAGCCCCCCCATCCACAAACACACACACACACACACACACACACGGGCTTCGGCAGAGCCATGAAAGGCACACATGTCCTCTCTCCAGGTGACACCCAAGTGCAGGCTAGAGCCACTGGGGGCAAGTGGGCTGAGGCCTGGGAGGGCAGCATGGAGCAGGCTGGGTGTCAGCCAAGACATGAGCATCTGCCTGCTGGTTGAACCTGGGCCCAGAGGACTTTGGTCGCCAGAGCAGAGGGAGGAAAGGTGCAGTCCCAGGGGCCCCGCAGTCTGCTTGTGTCAGAGTTCAGGTCGGGTAGCTTGGTGGGGCCAGACACCCTGGCTGAGGCAGCAGAGACAGAGCCTGGCATCCACTACTTGGCAGCTACAAGCCACACATCTGCAGGCGAACTCCCGAGGCCTGCCAGGCCTCAAGTCCTGCTCCCGCTACCCTTGGCCTGGCCTGAATGCCTGGCATGGCCCCTCTGTGTTCTCAGAGGCTGCCAACGCGTCTTGTTTGGCAGAGACCTGGAGCAATCCTGCGCAGAGGACTGCACTGGCTTTCAGAAGGGCAGACAAGGAGGGCCCTATTAGGGTGGCAGCAGCGGCTCCAGGAAGCCCAGCCTCTTCCCTTGCTCACACCTGCGGTCATCGGGCCCAAGGCTTGCCACCATTACCGCTTCTTTCCTTTGCTCTGGGGAGGTGGCATCCAGGGAGCTCACAGCACACTTTGATGGGGCTAGAAGCCCTCCCTGAAGTCCTTCGGGACACACCCAGAAAGGCCAATGAAGGGAAACTGAGGCCCAGAGGCCCCGGTGGTGGTGGGGAGATGGGGACGGGAGGGCCCTGCTGTGGCACTAACACATCCATCCACAGGGTACTCCTGCTTCCTGGGCTGCCACCCCGCCTGCCTCATCAAAGAGACAGAGCGTGAGTGTGTGCGGGTGTACACGCATTGGTGGGGGGCAGGCAGTGTGAGGTGGTGGGCATATCTGTGGCAATCTCCCCAACCACCACCAGCAGACCTGGGCACTCCTCCCCCCTGGCTGTCTGCATTGCCCACCCTCAAGCCAGCTAGTACCAGAGACCCCCAGGAGCCCCCGTGGCTGAGGAGCATAGCTGGAAGCTCAGGGCCTGGAGTCGCCAGAGCCAGGTTCCAAGTCTCAAGCTAAGTGACATGGGGAAGTCAGTTCCTCTCTCTAGGCCTCAGTTTTCTCATCCATAAAATAGGGGTACTAATGTACTGGCCACAGGGAAGCCTTCCTCATCTGGCTTCCTCTGGCTCTGTGGGCTCAGCGTCTGCCCTGCTCCTTCCCCTGCAGAGTTCTGGGTGCTGAGTTTTGTGCCAGTTCTCTGAGGGGAAATGAGGGTTGTTCTGGGAAGCCTGCCCGCTCCCTCCGCCCTTCCAGCCTGCACACTCCCCCACCCTCCACCCCTCCAGCCTGCCCACTGCTTGGGCCCAGCCGTGAGCCATGGAAAACCAGCCAAACCTTGTCTTTCTGCCTCTGTCACAGGGCCCTGGTGTATGGGCCTCCCAGCCTGCAGCCTCTCCCTTCTCAGGATGAGCCCGAGCTGGAACCAAGTGGGGAGGGCTGGCCTCCCCCCCAGCCCCTTTCCCAGACTTACATCTGTGTTGGGCACAGCTGCTCTGAACTGGAGCACTTCCTCTTAGAGCCCCTGTCTCCCCAAGACTGGTCCCATGGACCCACCTGGGACCCCACTGGCCAGTCTGGCCCTGGCCTGCCCTCCCAGAGTCCTCCCCCTGGTGGACAGTCCTCCCTAACAGGCTGCCCACCTTCCCAGAAGTGCCCTCAGGGAAGCCTCGGCTTCTGAGGGTCTGGGAGCAGTGTGCAGGTAGGTGGTCCTCTGTTCCCCCAGCCCTCCTCAGCCCCAAGCAGGCCTCTCCCCACAGCCTCCCCTGCGTCTGGCCAGAGCACACCCCACCGCCTTTTTCCAGGTGAGCTGTGAGCCCCAAGGCCTTCCAGGGCTCAGCTGGGTGTTCCAGCCCTGATTCACACTCCCTCTGTGAGGTAACCGCATTGGCAGGGGTGTCAGGCAGCGAGGAGGAAGGGGAGTCTCCTCCCTCTCTCCCATTCCATCTTGCTCCCTGCCTTCTTCATCCCTGTCCTGTTCTCACCCTCTCCTCCTCCCCCCTCCGGTGTCCAGTGGCACCTAGGCAAGGGCCCTGTGTGGTGGCAGCAGGCACAGGAGGCCCTGGCCTGTCCTGCCCTGTCCTGGTGGTTGCAAACTGACGGGAAGAGAAGGGAGAAGCCGTGCAGGTAGGCGAGCTCAGGTCCTTCTACCTACTCTGGGGCCAAGATCCTCTGGGGACTCCCCTGGTTGCTTCTGGGCTAGCCTGAGGCTGGCAGGCCCTGGGATGTGATTGTGGGGTCTCGAGGCTTAAAGGGATGAGGGAGGCTGGGCGCTGCCCGGCACCAAGTCCAGCTCTTCTCATGAGAGGGAAGCAGCTAAGTTGCCGGCTCTGATCCCGTCTTGCTGAGCGGCCTGGGGCCATGGGCTGTAGGGCCTGCGGGGGGGGGGGGGTCGGGTGGCTGCAGAGAGGCCTCTCCACTCCCTGCCAGCAGCAGCTGCAGCTCCAGCCTCACCACATATCCCTCTGCTCACGGGCACGGGTGTGGGCCAGGGCAGGCCACAAAAGCCTCTCAGGAGATGTGTGTGCATGGATGCCTCCCCAGAGTGCCCAAGGGACCCCACAGGGGTGACAGGATAGGCCTCCACCCTGACCTTCTCCTGGGATTGATGGGAACCAGAGGGGCAGTGGTTGTGCCCAGACCCAACTAGACCTGGAGGTGTCCCCAGGCCCCCTGCCTGCTGGTGGCAAGGACTCCAAAGCAGCAGCTTCCGGTGGTCAGCCAAGACCATTTGTAAACTGGGCCTGCCTGGGAAGCAGCAGGCTTCCAAGCTGGTTAGGGGTGCTGGCCTAGGATGCTGAGGGCTCTGCTCACCAGGCCTCCTTATACCTTTGCAGCCAGCGGTTGGCTCAGGAGGCTCACCTAAGTGGGGGCCTCCTTGGGTGGGGCTGGTTTGGGTCTACAAGAGTCCCTGGTGCCAGCTGGGTTCCCCGTCCACAGATGCCCCCAGGGCAGCCCAGACAGCCAAGCCTGGGAGATGAGCAGGGCAGGCATATTTATTCCCATTTAATGGATAAGCAAATGAGGCTGGCACAAAACCTGGGCCTTTGCCAGGGAATCAGGGTGAATGGGGAGGTAGGAGGGGCTGGAGGGGGCTATGTCTGAGGAGGAGGAGGGAGCAGGCGCGTGTGGGTGCTGGGGGCAGGCTCAGGCAGGGCATCTTGGCCTGGGGGGCCTCCAGACAAGCCTGACTCTGCCCTGCCACCCTGGCAGTAGCCTGCTCCCCTTGGGGGGCCTGTCTGAGGGCCGAGGCCATGGGCAGGAAGGAAGGGCTCTGTGGGCCAGGCAGGAGGATCAGTGGTCCCTCCAGTCAGAATTGCCTCGGCCGATTTTGCCCACAGCCTTGAAGGACACCCCTCTTTCTCCAGACTGCTGCCCCTGCCTCGGCCTCCAGGCTTTCTCAGAGGAATGTGGACACAGGGGAAAGGGGACAGGCAGGGAAGGAAATGACTCATGGTTGCCTATCTCAACTAACTCCGCATCGCCTTGAGCCTAGAGCTCTCAGGCAGGGTTGGCCAAGGAGGCCGTGGTGGTCTCCAAAGTGAATGCTTCAAAGCCAGGGGCCAAGAGCTGGGTCCCCCCGCTGCCTCCTTCTCAGCCCCACTGGCCCCCACCCCAAGGCAGGCCGGTTCCATGGCACGAGGTCTACAGACTTGCTACTTGGGAAGACATCTCCTTGCCCAGCGAAGCAAGTCCTGCCCTGGGGAGAGAGGGCAGGGGAGCAGGATGAGGTGCCCCCCGGCCAGCAGCACACTCCCACCCTGCCCCGGCCTCCCGCCCTGTGGTCAGGCTGTCCCTGGTGAGGGATGGGAACACAGGGCCAGCACCCGCACAGAGCACCAGCCCCTTGGTGTTGGGAAGATGGGTGGGAATGTGTCCAGATGGTGGGAGCTGATGCTGACAGATGGCCCCCTTCCCCCAACTCCCAGGCATAGCCACCATGCGGCCACTGTGGCTCCTCGCGTCTCTGCTGGCCCTGAGCCAGGCTCTGCCCTTTGAACAGAAGGGTTTCTGGGACTTCACCCTGGATGACGGGCTGCTCATGATGAACGACGAGGAGGCTTCAGGCGCTGACACGACCTCAGGCGTCCCAGATCTGGACTCTCTCACACCCACCTTCAGCACCATGTGTCCTTTCGGCTGTCACTGCCACCTGCGGGTTGTTCAGTGCTCTGACCTGGGTCAGTCCCTGGCAGTAGGGGGGAGATGTACAGGGAGAACCCATCCTCAGGGGGACATGTGACTGTCCTATGGATGGGGAGATGGGGAGAGCCTCTGCAGGCTTGGGGATTGTGATGTGAGGGTGTGGGGTGTCCAGAAGTCAGGCTGCCAATGAGCAAGGAGCCAGCAGAGCCTCTGTCTGCAAGCTCTGGAGCTTGCACCCATTTGTAGTGGAGTCCCTGTCTCTGTGTTGGTATCCCTGTGTGTATGTCCCTGGCCCTCCATACCAGCAGGGCTAGCAGGCTGAGTGGCCCCATGCTCATGCTGGGGACTGTGGTGATGACCTCCAGGTCTGAAGTCTGTGCCCAAAGAGATCTCACCTGACACCACACTGCTGGACCTGCAGAACAACGACATCACTGAGCTGCGCAAGGATGACTTCAAAGGCCTTCAGCACCTCTACGTAAGTGCCAGCCTCTCCTGCCTCGAAGGGCCCTTTCTGAGGAGCTGGGAGGAGTCAACAGGTCTGCAGCCAGGGGTATGAGCCAGATGGGTGTGTGTTCACATATGTGTGGGGCATGAAGGTAGTCCATGACCCATGGAGTTCTGAGAAGAGTCTGGAGCCATCTGTGGCAGGAGCTCCTGGGGTCACAGCTCACTAGCGTGAGTGTGAGCGAACGTAGGTACAGGACAGTGTCACTCAGCTTGGTTCCTTTTTCATCATGTTGGTTACCCCCAGCAACACAGGAGAACAGATTTCACTGTGGCCAGTGTGCACATGGGGAAACTGAGGTGTGGATAAGTGGCAGGCTGCGCTAGGCAGCAGCGGCGCTGCTGGAGCTCCCTACTCTGTGCTCCCTGAAAGTACAGACTGCCCTCGAGGCCCAGCCACTCGTACACCTCAAGCACCATCAGTAGCAAGCTCAGGCACTGAGGCAACAGAGGACGGACAAAAGGAGAAAAGGTTGGGCAGGGTCAGGGAAATGGCACCTTCATCTCTGTCACCTGACCTGCCTCAGGCCCTCGTCCTGGTGAACAACAAGATCTCCAAGATCCATGAGAAGGCCTTCAGCCCCCTGCGGAAGCTGCAGAAGCTCTACATCTCCAAGAACAACCTGGTGGAGATTCCTCCCAACCTGCCTGGCTCCCTGGTGGAGCTGCGCATCCACGACAACCATATCCGCAGGGTGCCCAAGGGTGTGTTCAGTGGGCTCCGCAGCATGAACTGCATTGGTGAGTGCAGCCTCAGCCCTGTGACAGTCCCCACCCTGGTGGTTGGCAGAAAGGAGTCAGGGAGACTGAGCCATCCAGTACAGCCATGGAGGAGCCTGGTGGGCCTCACAGAACGTTCTGGAGACTTGTCTTAGGGCATGGGGAAGGGAGACCATTTCAAGAGTCTTTCGAAACAGTCAAAAGAAAGTTGGATGTGTTTCTGAGCAAACCCTCTGCTGCAGGGATCGCTGTGGCCAAAGGGGGCATGACTGAGGGCTGGGCCTGGTGGGGGTGGGGCCAGTGTTCGGGTAGCCAGCTGAAGACTGCCAGTGATAGCCAGTGGGGCAAGGGTGGCCTTGGAGAGCCCCATCTTCACTTCTAGCACTCCTTGCCCCTCCTTCCCCCTCCCACTGTCCCCAGAGGCCTATCCCAGGCCCACTGCCCTTGGGGCCAGCAGTCTTGAACAGCTAGGAGTTTGCAATTAGCCCGGTAAATCAGTAGAGGAGATGGGGGATCCGACAGGCCCGGGGGTGTGCAGGCAGCCACTGGCTCCAGGGCTGAGGGAGCCTCTCTCCTAGAGATGGGCGGGAACCCCCTGGAGAACAGTGGCTTTGAACCTGGAGCCTTTGATGGCCTGAAGCTCAACTACCTGCGCATCTCAGAGGCCAAGCTTACCGGCATCCCCAAAGGTAGGAAGGCCACCTTCCTCCCCGCCCTGCCTCACCTCCAAGAGCACAGATATGCAGAGCCTATTTGGGGGGCTCTCCTGCCACCTGGGGCATCTGCATTCACCTCGGTGTGCCCCTTTCCCTGGCAGACCTCCCCGAGACCCTGAATGAGCTCCATCTGGACCACAACAAGATCCAGGCTATAGAGCTGGAGGACCTGCTCCGCTACTCCAAGCTGTACAGGTGAGGCTGGGGCACGAGGGGGCGCCAGAGTTCCCTCAGTGCTGTGCACCCTGGGGCCAGACCACTGCCCTTATCCCCTCCAGCCTCTGAGTTATGTCATTTGCTCATTTGCAGGCTGGGCCTGGGCCACAACCAGATCCGGATGATCGAGAATGGTAGCCTGAGTTTCCTGCCCACCCTTCGGGAGCTGCACTTGGACAACAACAAGCTGTCCAGAGTGCCCGCTGGGCTCCCGGACCTCAAGCTTCTGCAGGTGAGGGCCACAGTGGGGCAGCCTCAGGTGCCAGGTGCCCTATGCCTGGGCTGGGGAGCGCATGTCTCCGGGCTCCTTTCTCTCCTCACCTAGAAGGAGCAGGCCTAGCACTCCATCTATGCTGAGCAGGAGGAGAGCAGGGACTCCAGTGTGGACGCTGAGGAGGGTGGTTGACAGGTGGCCTGAGGGTCTCCGAGGTGGGGTGGACACCAGAGGGCTCAGAGAACAGTCTGGGCATCAGGGCGCGCAGATCTGTGCCAAGACAGGGACAGCCCAAGGCAGGAAGTGGGCTGAAGAGGAGGTGCAGGGCCTTGCCTGGGTTTTCTCAGCGGCCCCCATCCGGTGCTTGGCTGCCAGCCACATGGGTGAACTTGGCAGGAGCACCTTGCTCTCACCGGCTCTCTAGCGAGCGCCTGGCGCTCCCGTGTTGGGGCCAGCCCAGTCCCGGCAGCAGCCTTCTAGCGCCCTCTAGCGCCTAGCGTCCTCTCGGCCACTGCTGGGCTCCAAGCCCTGCAACAAGTGCCTCACTGGCCCCTGTCTGCCCCTGCTCAAGACAGTGGCTTCAGGGAGTTGGGGAGTGAGTGCCCCTGAGGAAGGGAAATGCACCCCAAAGGCTCTTTCTCTTCTCATGCACTGCAGCTCTCTAGAGTGAAAGAGTGCTCTCCTGGGGGCAGGCCTGCAGCCCATGAAGGGCCCCTCTTCCCTTCATGCCAGCATCAGTGTTTGCTACAGCCTCACTCCAGCAAACACACTTGCACCCCAGCCCATACCCCCACACGGGCTGACTGAAGACCTTCATCCCAGTCCCAGATCACACACCATTGCCTTAGTCTGGGCCAACATCCACACAACAAACATGCCCACGCAGTGTGCTCCCCCTGTCGGTGGAGGCAACATAATGCAATGACTCCAGAGAGGCCGAGAGCCCAGTGTGGAGGGGGCCCAGCCCCTCCTGACTCTGCCCTTTGTCTGGCCTGCGCCCAGCGGTGCCCACCCTGGGTAGAATAGGCTAGGGAGGGCAGTCTGAGGTGACTGGCCTCTGACCAAGCCTTGACCATGCCCCTTTGCCCCCAGGTGGTCTACCTGCATTCCAACAACATCACCAAAGTGGGCGTCAATGACTTCTGCCCTGTGGGCTTTGGGGTGAAGCGGGCCTACTACAATGGCATCAGCCTCTTCAACAACCCCGTGCCGTACTGGGAGGTGCAGCCAGCCACCTTCCGCTGCGTCACCGACCGCCTGGCCATCCAGTTTGGCAACTACAAAAAGTAGAGGCAGCTGCAGCTACCATGATGGCCTTGGTGGGGGTTTCTGGGGAACACAGCCAGATGTCCTGAAGGGGGGAAAGTGAGAGAGCAAAGCCTGTGCCTGGCTGCATCCAACCCAGCCCCCCACCTTTGGTCCCTGACCCCAACTCGCCACCCACCACGATCTCTCCCTGGCTGTCAAATCCACAGGTAGGCACAAGGCCCAGCCCCCGCCACACACCCCTCGGCTTCAGAGCTGCCCCTGCCACCCCCATGGCCACTTAGAGGCACCCTATGAAGCTTTCTTCTTATCCACTCAAAAGCCCAGTTGTGCAAGTTCCAGTCCTACGAAAGTGACCCTGCCATCTATGGGACGGGAGAGCTCACAGGAATGGAGACAGTGGATTCTTCCAAGGCCGGGCTTTCCTCCTCTTCACCCACTTCCAGCTTTCCAGCCCCCCTCAGCCCTGCTTTCCCCAGAACACCCATGCTTCCACTCAGCCACCTTGTTCTACTGGCCCTCAGGGACCAATTATCTCTCTCTCTTTCTCTGTCTCTCTCTCTCTCCCCACCTACCCCATCTCTGTGTCTGTCTGCCTGTCTCTCTCCCTCTCTGTGTCTGTCTTATGCTTCCTCAGATCTTTCTCCCTTCTGGGCTTGGTGACCTATCCCCTCCACCTTTCTGGACCTGTCTCTAGCTCCCACTATGCACATACACATACACCCTGACCCTCTGCCTAGGGCTGGGCCCGCTTTCTGTCTCACTGGCCTCTGGCCAGCTCCTGCCCAAGCAACCTTGGGGAAGCTGCCTCCCAAGCCTGCCCTGCCCAGGCCTTGCCCCCAAGCCTGGACGGCCCTGGAGGAGGCCCAGCCCCCTGCCCCACTATTGAGAGGGAAGCCTTAGGCCTGTTGGATCCTGGGACTTCCTGCCCCTGGGAGAGGCCCAGCAACCCACCAAAGTCCCATGCACCCCCATGATGGCTGGCCTCCCCTATCCCCTGCCTTCTGGTCCCTACTGTGCTGGGGAGTGTGGGTGGTCACACCCAGTGCAAGGAGGGGCTGCTTCTGAGGTCAACTGTTATCTTTCAATTAAAGAAATACTGTGCAATATGGCTGTCTCCCAGGCTCTTCAGGCCCTCTGAGCCCTTGAGCTTCCTCTTGGTTGCTTTCCTTGCCCTCAGGTCCAGGGCTGGACAAGGAGGCCTCATGACAAGGCTGGCCCCTTCCCCCTCCCTTCTAGGCACTCCTGTTGCCCCAGCTGTCCTTAGATTAGGCTCCAGAAGCAGACCAGGCCTGAGGTGGCATCTGCCCTTCCAGAGTGCAGTGCTTGCCAAGAACATGCCGGCTGCAGAGCATCAAACTAGATGTCCTCCCGCCAGGAAGGCAGCCTGGAAATCTAGGCGGGGCCCTGTCTGTGCATCTTGGTGGAGTTTGGGGGCTCAGCAACTCAGAGCGGTGCTAGTGCTGACACCAGGGGCCCCATGGGGTCTGGGCAGTGTGCTGTGTGTGCCCACCTGTGCCGGGCTGGCCTCGGCTCCCCAAACAGCCCCCAGCAGGTCACTGTGTGCTGGGAAAGCCAAGCTCAGGTTGCAGGGCACTGGCACTGGCTCCCAAGAGAGGAGCCAGGTCAGAGCTAGGGAAATCTGCTCACTGGGTACATGGGTCTGCCCCGGAAAGGGCAGCATGGAGGGGGACTATCCTCATAGCAATGCCCCCTGGAGGCACGCCTAGCAGGCTGAGGTGGCCACAGGCTACAGCCAGGCTGCTCTTCCCTTACTCTTGCAGGAGGGGCCTCCGGCACAGGAGGTGGGAGCTGGGGTTTGCCTGGGCAGCCGCAGGCTACAAACAAAAATAGAGCAGGTGGGGCCGCTGTCAGTGACAGCCCAGGAGAGCTGGAGCCCAGAGGCTGTGCATGTCGGCTCTTCACACATAACCATGCCATTATGCCTGCCCTGGCTCTGGAGCACCCGGTATCCCCAGGTTTCTCATTTGGGGGATGGGAGGTGCCGCTCTGCCTGGTGGCCCAGCGATAGAATGTCACCCAGCGGCATCATAGCACTATTCTGGGGCATGTGCTCCATGGCCCAGCACTCTCTGCTGAGCTGGGCAGGCACAAGGCAAGGGCACTGGCCGGGGGCCAGGAGTCAGGGCCTCGGTCAAGTCCCCTTGCAGGCCAGGAGGAGGGGTGGCCAGTGCCAGGGCCTGGCAGAGACTGAAAGATGGAGCCTTCCACCCTCTTGTCTGTGGGTGGGTCTGGGGCCTGTGTCCACTTTCTGCAAGTGCAGCCCAGCCCTGCTTTCCGCTTTGTCTCCCTGCCATTTCACATGCCTTCCCAAGCCCATCCCCCCACATCCCAGCTTAGGGACACAGTGGGGGTGGAAGTGCCACTAGGAACTTGTGGAACAAGTGTGATATGGGTGGTAAGTCTGAGCGGGAGCCCAGAGATGAACAGGGCCACCCCCTGCAAGGGCTGATAGGTCATGGTAGAAGGGCCGTTGGTCTTGGCCATAGTGTGAAGATGAATTAATCTATTATCAAGGGTGTTGCAAACTATTAGATAATACTACTAATAAAGGTGAGACTGATTGGGCTTTGGAAAAAGTCCAATAACATCAAGGTTATCCCTGCAAGCTGACAGCCCCCACAGTCACTCTCAGGTGTTTGGAGAGTGTAGTTATGCTGGAGGCCCTCTCCATGGGCACTCTGAACCTCGGGCCGTGGGCAAGCTGGGAAGGTGGGTGCAGAGGACAGCTTCTGGCCTGATCTTTGCATGAGTAGGAGCTCCTGGACTTAGGGACATGTTGGCTGTGGGGTGAGAGGAGAGGAGTAGGCAGGGTGGGCGTGCAGAATTTCAGCAGGACTACCAGGTTGGTGGTGGTGCCCCTGTGGCCTGAGGCCCTTAACAGGCACAGCCTGGAGAGGAGAAGAGGCCATAAGAAATGCCACCCAAGGGCCAGGAGCAAACCCAGAGCTGGTGGAGGGCAAACACACACACACATACACAAACACAAATGCACACACAAACATGTGCATATGCACACATGAATACACAAACACACACAGCAATGAATGTCATCGGAGCGGCTTGCTTGGAGAGGGCTATTTGTTCTGTGAAAAAGACAGCCACCAAAGAGCAGGCTTTGAGGGGCATAGACTTGGGGCAGGAGACATTTCCAAGCACTTATTGCAGGTCAGGTGTCTCCTGGCTGTGGGGGTGCCTAGCTGGAGCCTAAGCCGAATCTACTGCTTGGGTTTAGACAAGTCAGGGCTTGTCAGAGGGGCAGCCAGCCAGGCATCTGCAGCCTGGGGATGGGGACGGAGCAGGGCCCCATGGGAAATGACCCCTACTTGAAGGTCCTGAGGTTGCGGGGCCTGGAGCCAAGGCAGAGTGGCTGCTCTGAGAACATAGGGGGTGTCATTCGTCTATCCATCACCCCCATCTGCTGGTTTCCAGGTCCTGCCCCTGAGGGCTCTGGGCTCTGGTCTCAGGAGGGCAGGGACTGCAGGAAGGGGCCATGCAGGGCAGGGCACCATCGCCAGCGCAGAGCCATTGTCTTCATTGGCCTCTGGTAGGCACAGACCCTCTGGGGCCCTGGAGAACCCTGGCAGTCTGGGAACAGGCGGTAGTTCCCAGGGGACTGAGCTGGCCCTTGAGACTGGAGCCTTGATGGCAGGAGGAATTGTGCCCAAAGAGCCATCACTGACACACATGCACACACACACACACACACACACACACACACTCCGTCACCCACCAGAGAACCACCAGGCATGGAGTCTATTGAGAACCACCAGGCATGGAGTCTACTGAGGCCAAGCAGCCTGGGAGGCCCACAGCATGCAGTAGGCAGGGTTCTGTGGGGTGGGAGTGCCTTGGTGGCCCAGTTGGGGCTTATCCTGTGGCTGTTGTCCCAAAGCATCACAGACTAGGGAGTTGACAACAACAAAAAAATGGCTTCTCTCTCAGTTCTGGAGGCCATAGTCCGAAATCCAGGTGTGAGCAAGGCCGAGCTCTCTCCAGAGGCTCCTTCCCGCCTCTTCCAGCTTCTGTTGGCTCAAGGCATCCTTGGCTTGTGGCTCTGTCACCCTGCTCTCTGCCTCCGCAGTCACGTGGCTTCCTGTTCTGTGTGTGGGTGTGTGAAATTGCCTCCCTCTTATAAGGACACTTGTCATTGCACACAAGGCCTGCCTGGATGATCCAGGATAATCCTCCCATCTTGAGACCCTTAACTTAATCACACCTGAAAGACCCTATTTACAAATAAGGTCACGTTTCAGTTCTGGGGGTTAAGACATGGACATATCTTTGGGGACACTTTTAGCCTGCCACAGGGCTACAGATGGACATTGATTTGGTGGGCCCTGAGGCCTTGGAGGGACTGTGATCTCAGCCAGGGAGAGAGTGGGGCATGAGAAGACGGAGGCCCAGGCCCAGCCAGAAGGGCCTCCACTTGAAAGCAGGCCGAGGAGTTAGTTGCTGTCCCAAAAGTGGCAGGAGGGAAAGCCAGCAAGTGGGGGCATGGCCCAGAGGTCCGGGGGGAGCGGCCTGGTGACAGGGTGGTGGCTAAAGACCTGGGACAGAAAGTACTTGTGGGGAAGGGGGCGTAGCGGGCAGGTGGGAGGGATGTGCAAGGCTAAGCTGGCCAGGCCAGTGGACAGGAGGCTGGGGGGAGGTGCTCTCCATGACTTTTGTTCCTTAGGCCAAGACAGCCTAGGTGGCCATGGAGGAGAACAGGGCAGGGACCAAGGCCTGGGGATCCCAGAAGAGGCAGGTTCAGGGCATGGTGGGGTGGGCTGGCTTGAGACCAGATGGGTGCTGAGAAGCAGGATGGTCTGGGCCACTTGGCCAAGTGCCTTGCCCCTGTCACACCCCTGGCCCCAGCCATGACCTCCCTGGGGCTGGCTCCCTAAGTAGTTCCAGTGCAAAAGACAGGGCTTGGTGTAAGGAGGAACTTTCTAGCAAACTTTCCCCACCTACCTCTTTACAGAGGGTGGAACCAAGAGCAGCTGGCCAGCAAGCAAGGGCCACCAACCAACTCAAACCACAAAAACGGGACCATCCTTTCTTCTGGCCATTAGCTGTTTAGGGACCACAGTTTGCTAGGGACTGGGGACTTTCATGACACCTAGTTCCGTGGCCATCTGACCTTGGCCTCAGTGGGACTGATCACTAAGGCATGTTGCACTGCCAACTCCTGGCTGGGCTAGCCCTGAGCAGTGGCACTGGAGCCCGGTGGAAGAGGTGAAGAGGTGTCAGCAGATGATCTCTGCCTCAGATTTCGTCCCCGACCTGCCTATGCCAAGTGCAGAGGTGCATAAATACCCAACTGGGGCAGCAGCTCCTGCTCAGGGAGCAGGACAGGCTTCATGTGCTGGTGCCAATTCTCCCATGTAGACAGCAGCTATCGGTTAAATGAACATACTCCTGGGGGATCAGTATGTCCCTTGGTCCCTGAGGGAAGTCAGTGACACAGTCCCAAGGGAGTTTTTTCTTTTCTCTTTATCTCTCACAGCCACTTCCAGGCCTTTAAGTGTGGGTTTCCCCAGCACCTCCTTCTTCCCCATGGGCCCCTCTTCTGTCCAGTAAGAGCTGCTGGCACTTGTCTGCTAAGAGGCATTTGCTGTTGCCTGGGTGCATCCCATGCCCTACCTTTTCTAGCTCTAGAGCCAGGGTCTCAGGCCTGGGATGGAGAGGCATGGCCCTGGGGAGCCCACCGTGCCATGGGCAGCTGAAGGGATGTGGCCTGGTGTGCTGGGCAGGGGAGTCCACAGGCCCTCAGGAGGTGCTCCCTGTGGCAGCCCCTCTGCCCCGGCCAAGGGTGAAAGGCTGGCTTTGCAACTTGTCCCCGGTGGGATCTGATAAGCCCCTGAGCCTCCACCCTAGTCCAGAATGGAGGTAGCAAGAGTGCAGTGGCCACACTTACCTCCACACAGATTTGCAATAAGACTGGACTTGGCTACAGGCTTCATTTTTCCTGTTCCGGGCCATGGGATGTCATGAGGAGTGGAGGGGTCTTCATGGTGGCTCCAGGCCTAAGAAGCAGTCTGCAGTGGCATGGACCCCAGGCTTCAGGGTTGCTGTGGTGCTCTGACAGGGGCATCCCCCAGCTTGCAGGACAGCCAACTCACTGTCCCCTAAAACAGCCAACACCCAGGAAAGGCTGCCTCGGGGTTGGAGTTGAGGGGGACTGTTGGGGTTAGTGTGTGTGTGAATGTGTGAGTGTGTGCGTGTGACAGTGTCAGCGTGTGACGGTGTGACAGTGGCTGTGAGCATGACTACATGAGTAACTGCATGAGTGTGTGTGTGTGCCCATTCGTGAACTGGGATACTGTAAGGAATCCAGAGTGTGTATGAATTGTGTGAGTGTGAGAGCATGACTATGTGTGAGTCACTCAGTTTGATTACATGTGACTCAGTGTCACTACTCAATGTCACTACTCAGTGTCACTACTCAGTGTCACTAAGTGTGACTACGTGTGAGTCACTCAGTGTGTGGTGGTGTGGGGGTCACTGATTGTGTGTGGGTGAGTGTGTGTGAACAAGTATCTGTGAGTGTGAGAATGTGTGTGCATGGGTGTGGGTGAGCATGTGAGTGTGTGTGAACCTCAGCCCACACTGAGAGGTGGCAGGGCCTTGGCCCAGGCTCTCTGGGATGCCAGATCTCACCAGCTTTCCATAGAACCAGCTGCTTCCTGCAGGAGGTGTAGGCTGTTGGGGTTGTTACAGTCCTCCGGTGGGGGGGGAGGGACAGCAGTGCCTTCCTGTCCTTTTGATCTCTGACAGGGTGGCACCTCCTCAAAGAGACCAAAGAGGCCTTCCCAGAGTCCCCTGCACCATCTATTGTGTCCCCCTGATCAATGGTTTCCTGTGGCCCTTACCCCAACTGTGTGGGCACATTCGCTGTCTGCCCACCGCTCCCTGTTTTGTGGCCCCTCCTGCATCCCCAGTGCTCAACCCTGGCCTGGCACAATAGATGCCCTGGGGCCCTCTTTGCCCAAGGCAAAAAAGGATTCCAGGCTGTGTCCAGGCATCTTCCACCTGCTGTGTGCTCCTGACCCGGGCCCTGAGCCCTGAGCCTTGCGCCCTGCCTGCTCTGGGGGCTGATGCTCCCTGTGGACTTGTCACTTCTCTTTCCCACAAGCTCAGCCTCCTTCCTGTGTCCCCACCCAGCTTCTGCTCACTACTCACAGAGACAAAAGCCTGATCTGGGGTCAGAGACCTCCACTGTCCCTGGAGCTAGAGGCCAGTTGCAGGAGTCAGCCTCACTTCTGGGGTCTCTGTGCACATATGTGTGCATGTTTGTACATGTGGATGGGTGTCTGTCTCCACTTGTGTCCACAGATGTTTGTGTCCCTGCGTGTCCATCTCTGGGTGCCCACCTGGCTGCAGTCTCTGCGCTTGGAGCTTGTACTCCCTACAGTTAGTGGATAGTTGCAGGAGATCACCAACCCCTTGGAGCCCACCAAGGTCCAAGGACCCCATGATACATACCAGCCACCCAGCTCGTGCCCCACTGTACTGTTGGGGAGACGCACATAGAGGGCAGGGATCTTCAGAGGTAGCTGCAGCCTGGTGCCTGAGCACAAGCTCTGGGCGCTTTTCTCTGCACTCGCAGGTGCCATGGCATCCCCATTTCCAACCGCTCCCACCCCTACGTGGCCCGTGCCCTTCGGAGAAAATGCCAGGCTAGGAAGAGAGGGCACCCCTCGCGTCCTGGGGACAGAAGGGCGCTCACCGGGTGCGTGGCTCCGGAGCCCCGCGGCCCCTGCGCCGCGCACCGCCCCCCGCGCCCGCTCCCTCCTCCCTCCCGTCTCCTCCTCCGGATCCCCTCCCCCTCCCTCCCTCCCTCCCTCCGCGCTCAGAGCTGCGGCTGGAGCCGAGCGCGCCGTCGCCCGCAGCCGGTGCGGAGCGTGGCGATCACTCGGCCGCAGCCCTCGCCCGCCGCGGAGGTTGCGCCCCCCGCCGCCGGCCAGGCCGCCCCGTACCCGGGACTTTCCGTCCTTTGAACTGATAGTTGCCCACCGGGCGCCTGCCCGCAGCGTCAGCGCCCGCCAGAGCGGAGGCCGCGGTGGCGGCCGTGCCCATGCCTGGGTAAGTGGTGCCCCAGGCGCGCGGGCACCGCCGGGGTGGGCGCGGGCGCGGGCGCGGGCGGGGGTGGGAGGCGGCCCGGCAGGTGGCGCCGCGGCAAGTGGGGAACGCAGGTCCCCTCCCAAGACACCTGCGTCCCGCACCGGGCCTGCGTGTCCTTGCGGCTGAGGTGCCGCGCGTCACCGGGGCCGAGCCGGCGGGCAGCGCCCCGCACCCCGCATCCTGCACGCCCGTGTCTGGGCAGCCAGGCCGCCCCGGGCTTGGTCAGGGGCTGAGGGCAGCGCCTTGAGTCTCGGGCCTGGGCAGGAGCCTGCCGGTGTACATGCACCCCCAGAGCTGCGCGGCGCCCCCCCCCCCGTCCCCCCGTCCCCCGAGCCCTCACACTGTGTCATCCTCCCCCTCACATGTTCCCACACTGTCTCCTGCACGCCCACACGGCCGCCCGCAGACCCCGCGGCTGGTACAGATGGACGGTGCCAGCAGCCAGCCGCCCTGGGCCACATTTAGGTAACTCCTTCTCCATCCCTCCAGGAATAGCTGTCTTACCCCTCCTCACCTGTATGACCTTGGCCAGCGGGCTTCTCCTGTGGGGGCCTCAGTTTTCTCACAGGTAAAAGCTCCAGCATTAAGATTCTGGAATTTGAAGTGGCTATTGCTGCATCTCCTGGAGCCTGGAACAATTTGCTTCTCTTTCCAGGACCTGGTCACCTTCCTTCTGTCAGCCACTTTGGGGCTTAGTGGCCTGCTCAGCTGAGGAGGGATGGGAGGCAAGGCAGGGGCCTGGCATCTGGGCAAGTCAGGACTGGAGGGGATCTTGGAGAGCCCCCAGGGTGAGAGCTCAGTGATGGTTTGGAAGAGAGTGGAAATGTTCGCCCACTCACTCACTCCCTCCCTCCAGGGGCAGGGCAGGGACCAGTGTCCCTCAACTAGATGCTTGCCATTTCCCAGTGAGGGCACTCCGTCTTTCAAAGATGAGGCCTCAGGGCCTCTAACCTAAAGTGCATCAATGCCTGCTGAAGGATCAAGTCCAACCTGTGCTCATCTGGCCCTCATCCCACATCTCCCCTGGCTTCCTATAAGGACTTAGGTGCCAGCCTGGCAGGCACCCCCTGCACATGCCCCTCATTTGCCCACTAGCTCTGTGCCCTCATTCCCTGTCACCCTCACTAGTTTGTGAGCATATTAAGGCAGGGACTGGCTCTCTGCATGGGCTGCTCGAGTGCCCAGCACAGGCCTGGCACTGAGTGGGCACTTGATTTCTGTGTGGCAGTTCATGACCTTGACATCACTGAATCTGCAGACTCACCAGACAAGAGAGGCAAGGCCTGGATTTTTGTCCCCATTTTTCAGACAGGATAATTGAGGCCCCAAGAGGGAAGGGACTGGGCCTTGCATTGACTGCATGGGTGGAGGCCCCTTCCTTAGTGAACAGATGCCTGTGACATTCCTGTGGACCTGGGGGGAACCCCTAATGATCAGAGGCCAGGCCTCCTTCCTGAGCTCCTCCCACATCCAGGCACAGTTCTAAGCATGTTCCTGGACTCTTCGTCTGAATCTCATGTCAACCACATGTGTGAGCTGCTGTCTCCTTCACCCCCTTTTCGCAGATGAGGAAACCAAGGCCCTGTGGCTTGTGAGAGCAGAGCAGGGATGCTGATGAGAGGGCTGGTCTGCACCTGGAGAGTGAGCCAGTTTGAAGGGGCTGGGCAGTTGCAAGGCAGGGGAGGGCCAAGGACACAGCTAGGCTTGATTAGATCAACCTGGTCTGTGCCCAGCACTGTCAGGTGGTTTGAGTGAAGGGGCAGGCATGCCCTGGCACAGAAGGGAGTAACACAGGCAGATGGCAGTGGGGCGGGCGTGGGAGGGGGCTTTGCACAGAGCCAGGAGAGCCAGTCCTTTGGGGAAGGGAGCCCCTGAGGCAAAGAGCATGAGGGGTGGGCGGAGAGAGTTGCAACGCCAGGCAGGAGATGCTGTGGCAGGCCACCGAGAGCAAAGAAGAGGGCAAAGGAGGCTCTTACGACGGGAGCTCTGTGCCTGATGGTCTTTGTGACCTTGGCCAAGTCCCTTCTCTGCTCCAGATCCAGGGAGGGTGGGGGTGGGCCTCGGCGGACTCTCTGTGCTGACGTTTCAGGATTCTGGCTGGAGCTTCAGAGGTTGAATCATTCACGAGCAGGGAGAGGCCAGGCCTGTGAGTCAGTGAGCACTCTCCATCCAGAACATCTTCTCCCGGCCCAGAGAGGCAGCCGAAGGGTGCTGGAATCAGCGTCAGATGCCCCCCTGAGCATAGCTTGTGGGGAGGGGGCCCCTGCCTTCCTGGTAGATAAGACAAGCATGCCCCGGGCCCCCCGGGACTTCTGAGAGCTGAGCACCAGCTGGGACTCTTGCAGGCCCAGCCTCCTGCCCCCACTTACAGAGTGAATTGTCAGCACGCATGTACTCCCTTCTGACTTTAACTGATGGCCTGTGTATTTCACTGATGGCTGCTGTCTCCATCAGAGGTTACTTATCTCCATCAAGTAATGTCAATAATGACAATAACAATAATGGCAGTCACCTTGTGCCAGACACTATTCTAAGCGCTTCACAGACTTTCCATCACTTAATTGAGACAATAACCAAATGAAGCAAGTGCTATTATTATCCTTATTTTGCAGATGATGTGACTGAGGCCCAGAGAAGCTAGGTAACTTGCTCAAGGTCACACAGCCAGTAGGTAGTAAAACCAGGGCTGGAACACAGGCGGTCGCTTTCCAGGGTCTGGTCTCTGTACGCAGCCACTAGTTCTTTCATCTCTGTGAGAGTGTGCTGAACTCGCCAGAACGTCACTCTGTTTCATGTGAGCTGATGGCTGAGGGTGCTTCCAGCTCTGCTGGGGTGAAGCTGGGGATTCTTGAGAGGACCCTACAGCTCAGTAGCTGGGCCACCTATGTCCCCTCTACCTATCCACTGAGAGAACAGACAAAAGGGAGATTTATATCAATCCAAAGCAAGTTGGGGAATGACATGATTTTCAGTAAGTCATCTGTGTGGCCCCTTCAGGACACCCCTAAGAAGGAGCAGTCTTAGTGTGTGTAAATGCCAGCTAATAAATGGGGACCTGGGCTGTGGTACCAAAGGCAGACACTTCAATCTAAGCACCCATAGCCCCACTAGTGCCATCTCTGAGATGGGCCCAGGCACTGGGCTCTCGCTGTTACTTTACAGTTGGGCATGGCATGCAGAGACCTGGAACATGCAGATGGCTCCTCCCTGTCCCCCATCATTTCTCCACCCTGGCTGAGCTGACAGAAGCCAGGCCGAGTGGTGCCCTGCTGGAAAGCCCTCCCTGGCCTGGGCTCCTTCTACTGGGTGGGTGGTGTTGGCAGTGTGCCTGGGTGCAGGCCTGGGGAGAAGGAGCTGTGCCACACGTCACCATAGGGAAGGAAGGAGGCTCTCAAATGTAAGGGAATTCGGGCATCCCAGACTGCCCAAGGTTGGGAAGGGGACAAGTCCAAGGTGACATGGCTGACTGGGTGGTAGAACCTAAGCCAGAAAAAGGCAAGGGTGGAAATGCCCCGGGAATCTTGAGACTGGCAGGGGGCTCTTTTTAGGCACAGAGGTTTCTGGAGACTTGATTCCAAATCAAAGTTGTGCAAAGCGATCCTGTGTCAGTGTCCTTGGAGAGCACCTTATTTAAAGGGGTTCTGGGGCAGCTTCTGTTGTTCTTAGGTAGATCCCTCAGTAAATGGCAATCATTTTATTCAAATGAGAAGTTCTTTCCTGAGGCCACAATCTTAAGGCACTTTCTAGAGATGTACTGTCAGATGTGGCAGCCACTAGCCACAATGGCCATTTCATTAAAATTAAGTAAAATCACAAATTCTGTTCCTCAGTTGCCCTGGTTACATTTCAAACCCTCAATAGCCATATGTGGCTAGTGGCTACCATATCAGACTGTGCAGATAGAGAACATTTCCATCACTCTAGAATGTTCTGTCACACAGAGCTGCTTTAGATCGAATGCAGACCTGAATTCTCACACGGACCCTGAAGCCACTCTGAGCCCCCTACCCTGTGGCACAAGGTCACTGACACACAGGCTGACTTTTGGCCAGCCCCCAGGCTCATGCTCCCCCAGAACCACCCAGGAGAGAAGCCCTCAGGACATTGGAAGAAGGGTCTTGTGACGGGCCAGGCTCTGGTCCGAGAGCTTGATGACTGGGGACAAAAGGTGCCGGGCTGGGCTTGGGCACGTTCCCTCCCAAAATGTGGCTAGCCATGCCAGAGGTCACATCTTATGGGTGTGTTGGGCATTATTTATTTAACCGTATTCACTGTGGACCAGGCCCTGTGTTTGGTTCGGGAGGTGAATGGAGAGGAAAAATCAAAAGTGCTTCCTGCCTGTGCTTTGCTAAGTGATCCTCAAAGAATCCCCAGTCACTAGAATAAAAGTACAAACATGGCTGGGCCCACAAACTGAGTCCCTGCCCCACCCAACCTGGGTGGCCCTGACCCTGCCTCCTCAGGAACCACACGTGGCTGCTGACTACCATATGGGGCAGTGCGGGTAGAGAACATTTCCATCACTCCAGAATGTTCTGCCATGCAACATTGCTTTGGAGTGAATGCCAGCCCTAGTCCTCATAAGGACCCGGAAGCCACCCCAGCCCCCTCCCTCTGGCTCCGTGAAAGGGAGTGGGCAAGGCGGGTGTGGTCCTGAGAGCCGGGGCCTGCGCCTATGGGGGCAGCATGCAGGTGCCCAGACCAGCAGGCCTGAGGGAGGTGAGACGTGGTGGGGATGCCCGGACCTGTCCTCATGCTAACTCTGGTAGCCCTAGCATGCCCAGCTTGGGGCAAACACAGATCTGGCCACTGCTTGGTCCTGACCAGGTCCTGACCCTGCCTAGGGTGCTCAGGAAACTGCAGGGAGGATTGGACACTGGGGGCCGCAGAGGGAGGGTCTGGCAGCCCTACACAGATGGGCAAGGCCCTGTTGCTGTGGTTGTGGTGGTTGTTTTAATAAT